CGGCAGACGGCAAATGATTGGGTGATTTTTCTTATGCTCGAATCAATTGCCACAATCAAGCATTTTTCAGATCACAACGAAGTCGATCAGCCTGAGCGTAATTAGTTTTTTATTTAGTAAATATCGTGAGGAATATTCCGACTTTTGCGCAAAAGATACCTCCTGCTCGCCCAGGCGTTTTTAGTCGCCAAGTACAAATTTGACATCATTGTGAGGCAGCGATAGTAAGTGCGCTGGAGACACTCAAAAAAGGTACCTTTTTGTGACATCCTCCTTGTCTGCCGTCGGAGGAATGGAGCCACGAGGGGTGAAAGACATCACTCGACGTCTGAGTGTCTACTCCAACGTGAACCTGCCACAAAATGTGTGCACCTTTAAATGGCCGCAATAGTACACTAAACATGGGCCTACTAGTTTCCGTTTTTATCCCGTACGTCGCAATTCTGGGACGACGATGATGTCAGCCTTAAATCTTAAGAGAATTTCAACTAACTAGGTAGCGATACCCTTCTGAATTTTCCAGGTGCCATCAAATCGTGTTTCCTATGATGTTTGCAGTGGTGATCATCAAAAGTGAGATCTCACTTTCGAGGCTTTGTTTTATATTTCATTGGAACCTAGTGTACAGCTTCGATACCAGAATTGGTTTGGATTTTGAGCATATTTTTATGTAAAGCGATTTGCCTGTCTCAAACCCAGCACGCTCTCAGAGGAATAAACGCTGTAAATACCTATTCTTGAACTGGATATGTCAGAGTGGCTCTACTAGGGCTCATTTTCTATTAGCCATGAGCCAATGCTTCATACGCATCTCGCGCAAGAGTTGTTCACGTTTGCAAGCTGTGCAAATTGGGTATAGGTTTTTAACAGTAACTGCGTACCCAGAAGCAGGGCTACACTTTATAACACTCGTTTGCTTCATTACAAGTGGAAAACATTTTTTTTTTTTCAAATCTAGGAAATTATGGGCTTACAAGTTGCTATTTCTTATGGATATATCATTTAACTGTACATTTTTTATTTGAAATCTGTATTTATAAGTCACACAGATTAATTTCAATTGCATTTAAACCACATATTTGTACATACAAATATCTTGTTACACCTAATTGTGTGCAGGGCTCACATTTCAAGCAAATACAAATATTTTGACACCTGCACAATTCCATATCGCATAAACCTTAATTAGCATTATGCCGCAAATAGTAATAAACGCCAGTGGGCTCTTAACGATGGCAAAAAAAAAAACACGCTAATGCCACATCTTAGCAACTGCGCATGCCCAGTACTTGTTCGAGTGTGTAATTGATTTTAATTTCCATTTAATTGAAGTTTTTAAATACTAATTATTCACCTTTCATTTCTTATGCATATACATACATAACTATATATATGTACATATAATCAAATATTTTAGCAAAAGAAAATACTTGATGCTCGACTTGCCCGCTTGTTCTGGTGACACGCCATTTCAAGAGCTACCTATGCCAGCTAAGCTATTGCTACTGCTTTTTTTTTTGGAAACGACACAATATTTAGATTAACAAATTGGCAGGTTTCGTGTTAATTGTATATTTATGGCGTAATTGAGGTACAGGGCAGGCCGATCAAAGGCAAACATACAAATAGGAAGTGGCCGAGTTTTGGTGGCTTCTAACTAGTCGTTACTTAACCCCATAAGAGTTTTCGTGTTAACACTGTACTTTGATTTTATTTTCATGATTTTCTCAATGCTATAATTTTTAATTAATTAATAAAAATTTATTGTTAGTTATTACTTTTATAGGAATAACTTTGGTCTAAATGCATGAATTTAACCTCATAAAAAACTTCATAGTCATTTGTTAATCCCTCATTTAACGAACTAAATTAATTCAGAAAAATATTTGTATATATGTATGTATCTACATATGTATTTTACATAATGAATTTAATCAGCTCACGACTTCTGGACTTACACCAAATATCCTCTGGGTAACCAACAAACATCCCTATAGAGGCGAGCTAAAGTGAGTAGGAAAATTTCCCTGTGTCTAGCGGTGTAGGGTATGAGACCACATGAAAAATATATATATTTGAAACGAAAAAATTTCCGCAAATGTAATGTTAAGGATGATAGTTTGAAGGTACGAAGGCGTACGAAAACTCTGCCAGAAAGTTTAAAGGTTGACATAACCGCCGTCCAAGAAATGGTATGGACTGGAGTATAACAGAAGAAGGATGTTTCTTGTGAAATTATCTGCAGCTATCATATAAATGAGTGGAAATTTGGTGTGTAAGTACTGGCATTAATTTTACAAGTCAAGAAAGCGCCTATGACCGCTGTCCCCACGATGTGAAAATTGTTCTCGGCAACTTTAACGTCAGGGTGGGCAAAGAATGTATATTTTGCGAAACAATCCATATCGATTGAAATGCGAAATGTCTCCAGTGTTGCAGATGTGCGTACGTTCAGAGAACATAACATTGACTCAGATCATCATCTTGTCACAGCGAAGATATGCAAACGCCTCTGTGAGTCAAAGAACGCCCGTCCACATATGCAAGGTGGGATCGACATCGAAAAGCTGCAATCACAACAAAGAGCCTAATGGTTTTCTACTCGACTTGCATATTTGCTTTCTGAGAGCGCTCACCAACGAAAATGATATTTCAAACTCCCTACGTATCGACGCTCAGGCAACAATGGGTTTTCGACAGTGCCAGAAAAGGAGCTGATACGATGAGAAATCGTGAAAAGCGTAATGCATAAGTATGAAGAGCCCTAGAAAAACTAATGAAATAATTAGGCAGCTTACAGAGGGTTTCAAGAGCGGTGCCATTTAATTTGTGTATTTTTGTATCTGCTAATTCGCTTCCTGTAATGCCGACACGGCCTGGTATCCACATAATCTTCACACTTTTTTTTGAAAATTCTGAAATATAATTAAGATTATGAACTCCATGTAAAATTGCTTTGTTATCTGTGCAAATAACAAATTTATGGTTTTGTTTGTTGGCGAATTGACATGCGCTTATGACAGTTTGAGCTTCAGCTTCAAAAGATGTTGCTTTTTCTAGTAAAATACCGTTTAATATTTGTTCCCCGTTCTCAAAGACAAATGCAAAAGATGTTCCATTACTGCATTTCGACCCATCTATGTATAGAAAATATACCCATTTCTTTGTTTGTTTTAACTTATTAAGCAACTCCATAAGAGCAGATTTCATATTCATAGTGCTTTTTCGGGATTTCAGCAGCCTAGATATTTTCTTAGTATATAGAATGTTAATTGAACGTGCCGCTATGTACATAGCACGTTCTTCTAATGGGAGAAAACCACCTTCGGCTAAAAGATTTTTAATTAGAGTTGTTCAAAAAGCTCTCAGGCTTAATCGGATCGCTGCATGATATAGGCCCGTAGTTTTATTGAGTGAGGAGGGTACAGGTCTTGCCTTAAATTTGCAATCCGTAGTAAATTTTTGCGAGAAGGGTAAGTTTAAGAGTGTGTTATTGTGAATATGACCTTTATTTAAAGAAAGAATGTAATAAAAATTGAGCTTGGAGGCGAGATCTTTCTTAATATATGAAGAATGTTTTTTAAATTTACTTTCATCAAACCTATAATTTTTTAGAGTGTCGGTGTTTTCTATTGTTGTGTCATTAAATCTAATATTTATTCTGCTGCACTTGAGTTTTCTACAGGCATGAAAATGCCTACATTTCTGTAAAGAAAGTTTTTTGACCAGGTATGGATACTTCTTAGTGTGCGCTCGAAGATAAATTTAATGTGATTGCGTCTTTTTTATTCCACATTATATATAGATCATCTGCATAAAGGCAGAAATCTACATGGATTCCTATGCTAAGTCGATTGCTTATATAGACAGAATGTATACCTAAGCATTGAAGGCTTCCATAAAAACAGTATACTCGTAGAAAATGGCTTCTTAAGGGGGAAGCTGGTTTAGAAGGCTGAAAATTGCTTGATGTTCGGCACAGTGTTTTAGGTTGCCTTAGGCATGAAATGTTTCAAGTACTTTTGAAATAGGTCATGGATACACAAATCTTGCAAAAAAAAATTAACCTCCACTTTAATTGATACTGTTAAGCAATAACAATTCGTATTTGTTTGTGGCACTTCTCGCTCGAAGAGTCTATTTCGTGAACACGATAGCGATCGTAGTTTAGCTTAGGAGTTGCTCTTCTGTGTGAACCTAAGATATTCGAAGAAATGTGTAAAATTATTTAATTTATGACTGTTTATAAAAATTTTTGCGTTTTTCTGAAGAAATTTTAAGATAATTTATTGAAAAAAGTTAATAAAAATAATTTTTGTATTGTGATTTTTTGGGTTCACATAAAAGCCTACACTATTAGCTGTAAAAAAAGGTATCATTTATGACACTGCACAAAGCAGAAAAACACTGTTTTGAGAAAATCGCGTTCAAAGTATTAGCGCCCGCTTATAAGACTCCTGAGCTCATTGTCTCTCAGATGCCATTTCTGCGGAACGATTAGGAATTTGACTCTGAAATTTTGTGGAAATATTTCTGAATATATTTCTAATCGAATGAGATAAGTTTCAAAAAATCGATTTTTTTGACCCTCTAAACCAGGTTCCCCCCTTAAGTCAGTAGTTTTATTACAGTACCATCTTTAGGTTGTTTTTCTTTTTTGAGTAGATACACTTATTTTTTCAAATATTCCAATATTCCAAGCGCAAATTGGAAGAGGCGCTCGGCCGAAAATCGCTTCCACTCTCTCATAAGCTCATTAAATGTAAAGCAAAATGAAATTGATCTCAGATGCGTGTGCTAATCAATGAGTTGGGTATATACGTGTATGCAATTAAAACTTCGCACTCATTCTCACCTCGCATATCAATGTGATTGTTTAATGACTAGTTTTTGATATTCAGACACTTAAAAAAATAATTGAAAAAAAAAATTTCTTATAAAAAAGGTTTGAAATTGCGACGACTCTTAATATAAAAGCTTTTAAAACTGATTACGAAGATACGTTAACCGAATTCCACCTCAACAGTGAATGTGGCAAGAGCAAGCACAATTTGACTAAAAAATAACCAATTTCATTTACAGTTAAGTAAAATGTATATCCTGAGAACCATTTTGGGAGCATTGCTGTGGTGCAGCGTTTTGCTGAATCTCATACGGGCACAAAAGGAGTTAAGACGTGATGAAACTGTGGGTTTAGGTTAAAAGATTAAAATTTTTTATTAACCAAAAATTTCATACTTAATAAAATAGTATCCTCCGCCGGAACTGCTAGAGGCGCTCAGACCAGTACACGATAAGTGTGTTGCCAAAACCGGTGTTACAGAAGGTTGAAAGAATTATTGAAAATGATTAGCAATTTCTTAATTTATATTAAATTTTTATTACAATTTAATTCCACATGGCTTTAGAGGCCATAAAGGAGTTCAGTGATGGTGAGATACACGAAGATGAGCCACTCAAGTGCTATATGTACTGTGTGTTCGAAGAAACGGATGTTTTGCATGAAGACGGCGAAGTGCATTTAGAGAAATTATTGGATAGTTTGCCGAACTCAATGCACAACATCGCTTTGCATATGGGCAAGAAGTGTTTGTATCCCAAGGGTGACACGAAATGTGAACGCGCTTTTTGGTTACATCGCTGCTGGAAGGAGTCGGATCCAAAGGTACTTTAACAATTTTGAAACAAAAGTTATGCAAATGCATTTAAAAAAAATACTAACAATATTTCTCTACCATTTCCAGCACTATTTCTTGATTTGAGAGCCGCTTCATTGGAGGTCTTTCACAGCTGACTCTGCTTTTGACAATGTGAATACTGAACTTACATACATAATATGTATTAATCTTTATTGTAGTCTTTTGGTTTATTATAATTTGCAAATATAGTTTAACGAACATTCCAAAACTCCAAAAGATTTTTTATGTATGTTATTTTAATTATTTTATTGCTTTGTTTTTTACTTAAGAAATTTTTGAGCGTCAGAAAATTGAAGAACTAAAGGCGTAATGGCTTTTTATCAGCATTCCAATATATGTCTGACTCAGCAGGAAATACTATTTTAGTCTAATAGAGATGTAAATATATCAAAAGTTCCGATGTGAGAGCATTCAGGCCCCCTCGCAATATGAAACGATTATTAGCGGTTTTTCGCTTATAGATTCTATATAGAAATCTAGGCTCACAGCACTTTCAGCCTTTTTGTTACTTTCATTACAAATACTCACCTGTACACTGTACCCAGAATATGTTAAGCTTACTCAGCTAACAGTTATATTTAACGGTACTAATCAAGATAGATAGGAACATATTCACATCAAACTTCATGAAACACCGAGACGATTCGATTTCGCAACATGACCACGATAAACCAAGTCAGGATTGAGATTAAAAAACATGGTTTGCGTAGACCTCAAAATCGAATATTTAACCTTATTTAATTTAATTTTTTTTTTATTTAATTTTTTTTTTTATTAGTTTTTTTTATTTTATTTTATTTTATTTTATTTTATTTTATTTTATTTTATTTTATTTTATTTTATTTTATTTTATTTTATTTTATTTTATTTTATTTTATTTTATTTTATTTTATTTTATTTTATTTTATTTTATTTTACTTTATTTTATTTTATTTTATTTTTTGTGATTTGATATTAGTAAGCATTAAATTAGAAGAGTCCGGTCATATAATTTGAAATTCAATTTCTGCAATAAATAGTTCACAGATAATAAAATTATGCATAGACCTATTATCCGTTTACAAGAGAAACTTACTTTAATTGTTCTTTTTAATGTTTTTTTTTTTGCGATTGCTTAGTAACGGTATGCATTTCATTTTGAATTTTTCGTTTGCTATGAAATTTAAGTGGAACCATAATTAATTTCACTTTAGCAACTTTTGATTGCCTATGTTGGACGGGACAAAAAAGAAAAACAAATGAACAAAGCAACTTTTCGGACAAATGGGCTTTAGAGCTGGTGGAAGTACCTGTTTGGCTTCCCTTATCCCCACACTAATTACCCACTAACACACTGATAAACAATTCAACAAGCAGTAAATATGAAATGGGTAAATAAGTGAGAGGCAACATTTTCATTTTCTATCATGAATATTTTAATGTCGGTAATATGAATACAAGTGAAAATGCTTACAAAAACGACAAAATAATATAGAAGATCCGCAAAGAACACTGAAATGAAGCCACAAAAAAGTACAGTAATTGAGTTTGAATAAATTATGTATTTAAGGCATACATAAGCCAGCCGACGACCGATGAAGACTTATTTACTCGCACATATCTCGTTTTGGCTAGCCATTATAATAAAGACTGGCTGATGGTTAGAAAAATATTTGTATATTTAATATAAATGATAGAATATTTGTTAATATTGTATGTATGTGAATGTATGGGTATGCAGTTACAGCTGGGCTATTGTGGTTTTATGAATTATAATTTAACACTTTCACTTGAGGCTTGGCATAAAATTGCACTAATGACTTGTCGCTCATTCGTGTGGCAAGTTTAAAGCTTATTTTCAATTTAATATTAAAAATTATTTAAAATTTAATAATCCATTGGCTGGAAACAACAGTGAGTTAATAAATATAAAAATCAAGCGGAAAAATCACCTTTTGAACAAAATCTTAATTTTTAGAAATACTAAAGGATTTTCAAATAAGAAGTGTTCTTTTGATATTGAAAGAAACTTCACCACTAAAAGTGAAGAAATTTTATTTCATTTGTCCAAAGTCAAAAAATTATAGCTTCAAAAGTGACATCTACGAGAATAGCAGGCCAGACCTCTGCAAACGTGTTAAAGATTATGCTTTAGTGGCGTGCACCTGAAGTGTTCGGTGCCTTAATTGGAATGTTGCCGCTGCCCAGTTGGTTCATATACTCGTAAGTCTTAACTTAGGTGACATGGTTGCGCCCACGATCTCACGGAATAAAAGGATGACTTGACCAAAGGCACCTTTTATAAGAGCCTGGATCGTGTTTAAGGGATCTGCCCTCGCCATGACGTCATCAATGGTTTTGACGACTTTGACAAAGATCAAACATTCCCAAAAGGGCTGAGATTGACGACTTTACCAGGACACAAAGTATCGTTATCTCTTGAACTGGGTTTCAGCATTAAAATAACTCCTGATAATACGTCTTTCGTCTTATTGACATACGCACACTTCGAGGACACAAAATCGACTCGGACCACTAACTTGTAGTAGCAAGAGATACGCACCCGCCTCTGTGCAGCAAAAGCCACCTGTCAATAAGCATATGAGAGGTTCCAAGTCAAAATGCTGCTATCACAACAGACAACCTAACAGTTTTCTACTCGACTTACACTCCTGCTCTCCGAGAGCACTCAGCAAGAACTTGGTATAAGGGAACTGTGGAACGGCTTCAAACGAAATGATTTGTTTTCAGAAAGGTCAAAAGAACCACTGGTGAGATGATTACCATTTCGCAGTGAAGAGAAAATAGACTGCTTACCTTGCAGCGTTATTATCGACTACTACACATGTAGGATAGAATAGATACTGAGAATCGAACAGCGAAGCGAGAGGGATGTGCAGACAAAAAAAGAAAGAGACCGCTATTAGTGAATGTGAGAAACTAGCTAACGGGTAATTTTCGAAAATTCTACGATAAGATACGGCAACTTAGGGAAGGTTTCGAAACCGAAGCAAACTTTTGTAGGATCCAGAGAGGTGATCTAGTGAGTTATGGAGAGAACACTTCTCCAGCTCATTGAAAGGAGGTGAAAAATAAACATCAAAAAATGGCGAGCACGATTACCCAATCGATGAAAATATAGCAGGCATTGCAATGCGCTGCTATCAAGAAGTTGAACAAGAATTGCCCGCCTGAAACACCACAAAGCGGTGGGGACGATGAATTGCCGACTGAGCTGTTTAACTCTGCCGGTGAAGTAGAATATTGTATGACGACAGCATGCCCGACGATTGAAAACTAAGTCTACATGTCCCAATTCACAAAAAAGGGTGCAGTTTGCGCTAATTACCGCAAGCAGACATTGTAGACATGCGCAGCACTCTCTGAATCAGATTCAACATCTGCAGTGATCAAATTTCCTCAACACTGTACCGCTTACGAATTCGCCTCTCAGAATGAGTTTGCACAAGCATATGGTCCAAAGTAGAGAGACACATTTCGGAATCAATATGGCATGTAATGAAATTTGCTAACAACTCACACATTTGTCATTCAAATCTGTACCCGTACACATTTAGGCTAGCGGTGCCAGCCAGGCATCCAGCCGGCGTTTGACAACTGGTCACACCGACAACACAACCTTGATTGTGCAACAGATAATTGTTGTTGTTTGTTGGCCTGCAGCTATTTATGAAGCATAACCAAGTCATGAGTTCTTGTAACAGTTGGAGTACGCATAAAGCTAAATGTCCAACATATGTACGAGCACAAAAGAATTAAGCAGGCAATTGCTAGGAGTTCAGGAGAGGAATCGACGGTGCAAAATTTCCTTTGCAAACTAAAACTCATCATTCACTCGACGACTAAACTGTCGATGTTTTTGAAGTGTTCGGCTGGTCTGTTGTCACCATCATTATCATTGCTGATGCAGACTCATCTGTATATCGCCCGGCCAATGCGAAATGAACACTGACCACTGAGCAATGCAAAGCTTTGACCTCCTCTGCGCCGGAATGTGAATTGTTCATGCAACATTTGTCGACACGAAAAATTACACATGTAAATTGCAAATACTGAATGCGCAGGCATCTGACTACACATTAACTTGAACGCATGATGAGCCGTTTGGCAGCCAGCTCAGCGATACTGTTATTGAAGGTTTTTCGTTTTTGGCTACTATCTGGCTTGTTGTTGCTTTGGGCTATTACACTCGACGCAATTGTCATTGCAACTGCTGTCACTGTCTGAATATTGGTTGGTTGATTTTTGAGCTGTCGAAGTTGCTAATGTAACCGCAAAGCATGCTGGTGCCTTGGGGCACAGTCCAACATCGTTGGAGTTCCTCGTGTTGTCTCGCCTGTACACTTTTTGACTGAAAGTCGTAAAAATTTAGCCTCAAAACTAAACCAAAATTTGGTTTGTCGGAGCGTGTTTTTTCTTTGCCGTCTGCAATCACACCGGCGGTAGGTGCCTGTTTCATGAAAGTGTTGGCTGGTGCATTTCTCATTTCAATGACAAATGAAAAATTTTCATTTTATGCTCTGAGCCCAATGGGAAAAAGTGACATTTGACTTTTGAGCGGGATACGTAAGCTTTGCAAACATTCACTCATAATTGCATTGCTGACAGCTGTGAAATGCTAAAATGGAATTTGATATTGCTTAGAAAACGGCTGCATTGTAAACAACGGTAAAGATTAGTTAACTTTATTCGAAATCACTTCGATTTATCGATCTTGGTCCACCATGTCCCGAAGTTCATACCCGACATAATAAGATCTACCCTTCACACCTTCCAATATGATTGCATAAAGCGATCACACTAAAGGTGGAGAGCAGTAAACTTGAAGATCAACAGCAAGTTTTTCTATTGGCAACCGCAATCTACTTCACATTCCGTGTAACTTTGTTTCAGAATAAACTCACCTTGAGTGGATAGATCTAATGCTGTAAAAAGTTACTTCGGCAAGTAAGAATTATCTTCAATACTATTAAAAATTACTGGAAATTGCAAAGCTGGTAAGCTTTCGAGGCTGTGCTCTCTCTCTGAGAGCAGTATACCCTAAGACGTCACACTCGTCTAGTCCAATGCCAAAACTGACACAGCTGAACTTATAGCCGCAAGGGTAGTTAAACCCCAATAAAACAAAGCAGAAGTGTGTTGATTGCCCGAAGAATGGTAAAGGGTGATTTTTTCAGCTATTATCTTTATGGCAACACTGGTTGAAAG